GGGGGGGTTGGGTGTGGTGGGGGAGTGGGGCTGCAGGAAGTCAGGGCAGTGGGTGGGGGGCTGGGGTAGGGGATTGGGTGTGGGGGTTGGGGGTTGGTATGTGGGGGGCTGAGGATGAGATGGGAAAGGCAGTATTCATGGCAGAGGGCTGTGCTGGGGGAGAGCTCACCGGAGCTGCCTGTGGCAGTGAGGACAATACACCCTCACGAGTGGTTCCCTCTCTTAGCTTCTCTAGTAAGGCTGCCCAGGGGTGAATGGAGAATGGAAGCTAAATTGCCTATGGGTGGCTATTTTTTGAGGTTCTAGCTGAAGGCAAAGGGGGTGGGGAGTGGGAGAAGCTCACATTGCTATACATGCAGTGCTTATTCTAAGGTTTCATAGAGGATATCCATCTCTAGGGCTGTCAGTGCAACAGCTTTCAAGGTAAGGCTAAGCTGGGATCAAATTCTATACACAGGCTCTAACTGAAATCACCCATGGCCTCATACACCAGTCTTAGGTCAAATGTGATCATTTTCTGCTGATACAAAGTTGGGTCTCCTGATTTTCAGTTCTCCAAATAAAATACTCCAAAATTCTGATACTATGAAGGTGCACGCTCTCTGCCCATATTGACTGTTGCCAGAGCTTGTGGTGGGTGTTTTCCCAATGTAGTGTAAACGATACCTCTGATATGAATCGGTTACTCTCCCCATCTAACTGGCCTTTTTTATATCCTCTCCCTCATTTATACTCTAAGGTCAGATTTCCAGCCCGCCTTTGTAATGGGAATATTTTAACGTGCATGCAAATAGTCACTTGGATGGGCACATCTGGAACGACACGTACAACTCTGATATGCATGTGCAAACTTAAATTTTGTGCCCTTGCACACACAAATGGATGAGCAAGATCACAGAGATCTTGATGCTTTACTTGCAGCGGGGGAAAGGCATCTTCTTTCAAGGCAAGGAGAAGGCTAAAACTTGCAATGACTTGCTGTAGCTAACTTTTTTTTGTTTAAATTTTCCCTTCAGTGAAATGTCAGACACACTAATCCAAGACCTGATTGCTTCACGGCTGGTGTTACCAAACAGAATCACAATTCCACTGAAAAAGAACATGAACATTTCCCAACTGCGATTCCCTATCCCACGTGTGAGTGTTTTCTGAACAGGGTGACATGATATATGGACATTCAATCAGCTGAATATGCCGTACGCTATGATTGGAAGGGGTGGTGGTGAGGAGTGTGTGCACAGTTGGCTAATGCATCAACCTCTAAACGGTGAGAAGTAGGGTGATTGTCACAAGTTTGGTTGTTTTTTGGACAAGACCCGAGGTGACATAGGCACTTAACAAAACTGAAGCATGGTAGCAGGTATCTGTTCAGATTGAAAATGCAAGTTACTGCAATATTGAACTCTGGGGCAGACACACAACTTCAGAGGAAGCTTGCCCATGCCATATATAATACTAACCAATGGTTTTCTCCCATTTGTGTCTATTAAAACTAAATTAAGTCAGCTCAAACAAGTAGGAGAGATCTGAGCAAAAGGTGAAGATGGAGGATACTGAATCCTGTGACAGTAGTAGTTGATGAGAGGTCCAGAGGGTGAAAGGAGAGGTATTCTGCCTATCTAGGGTATTTGTAGTGAACCCATCACAATGGTATCTAGGTAATTTCAATCTCTAACCTGACACCGGGTTATACTGCAGCAATATCTTCTACTTAGTCGTGTTTTTATCTTCATAGAGTATCCCCAGTATTTTGAAGGTACACAAGCAGATATTGTCCAACTGTTCCTCTTAGTCTTTATATATCCTATACATATAGTAAATAAGGCTTGTTTAAGAAATCAATCAGTGATCTCTCTTCCCAGGTGAAAGCTTTAGGTTAATGAAGGAATATGTTGACTCTCCAATTTGTGGTTGATTTGTATGCTCACCCAGCAATTCTTCACTAAATAATGCTCTGAGACACTTAAAGAACAGGAAGGCATGCAGTCAGAAATCATTTTACTAAATAAAATATCTTGCAAAAATTCACTCAAAACATCGTCAAATGCAAATCTCACTCTCGAATATACTATAAATATTCTAGCTGTTGAGTGAATGTTTTCCACCCATCTATGCCTTTTCCTCAGTCACCTACGTGTAGTAACCAAAAGCAAGATGAATGGCCACGTCTGCAACAACTACTCAAAAGCATCCTGCCACTGTGCCTTACCAATGGAGGCTACTTTTTGTGCTTTCAGGCTCTGGGGGACAGGCACACTTCCTGAAAGGCCTGAACATGCTCCGTTCCCTGTGTAATGTCAACCAGAGGCCTTTCCTGCCTGATCTATAACCATGCATGACGAGTTACCTGGCATTGCTCATGTCCTTAACTCAATGAATTTTTGGGGGGGGTGGGGGGTGAAATGTAAATGTACATACTTCACTTAAATCATTGCTCTAGGGTGGGTCAGGGAATGAGGGTTCAGTATGCAGGCTGTCCTGGGGAGAGGACTCCTGCACTCTCACTATTGCAGCTTGGGGCCAGGTAAGAAGCACCTCTCCATGGCCACTGCATAGGAAAGGACAGGTCCAGGTTCATCTGGCCCCTGCACTCCTTAGCCAGAGTGAGGAATGCAGCTAACTGCACTTTCACTTTGCTCCTTGACACAGGGGAACAGCCAGCAACGTTCCCTTATGAATTGTGGCGGGAGAGCTTCAGCCCCCCTGCCCTTCCTAGGGGGTGCCTGGGGGATGTGAAGCTCAGGGCTGGAACAGTCCCAGACTGGGCGGGGGAGTGGGGCAGAGGGTTGTGTGTGCTTCAGCCAGCCCTTTTCACTTGCCTGGTGATTTGTGTCTCTTCTGCATGGTTTTATGAGAAGCAATCCCATTCTAGGCACATCCCATTTTCCGGACACAGCCAAACCCTTACCTTGCTTAAAGTTGTGATAAGAGGAAGCTCTATACTGAGTGTGGCGGTCCTACCTCTTACCGTTTAGAAGGAGTTCTTGAAGAAACACACAGACTCTCACATATATAGTAGATTGTGCATCTGTATAAACTCTCTTTTAAGTAAATGAAATTACACATTACAGATGTTTCCTGTTTTACATCTATTACATAAGATGGTTGGAATCAACCCCTGAAATAACTATTTTACAAGGAAATGTATTGCAATTATCAACAGGCCCATGTTTTCATGTTGATCTGTTCAGGGAGTAGTAAGAGTTCATCTCCTACAAGCTGAAAATCTTGTCCAGAAAGACCACTTCCGGGGAAAGTCTGACCCTTATGCTAATCTTCGAGTTGGGTTGGTGCAGTTCCGAAGCAAGACCATACAACGAAATCTTAATCCCATCTGGAACGAAATGTATGAGGTATAGAATCTATTGATCTTTCTAACCATATGAAGTTGTTGTTGTCTGCATATGTGGATTATATTTGATTTGGGTACTTTTTTTTTTTTTTTTTTTTTTGCTGCCCTTCAATAAATGCTTGGAAGGTATCAGGGATAACTTTTTTTTTTTAAGGTAGAAGAAGTAAGCAAGGGGGACAGCCCTTTAGACTTTATTCTTACCAACAAGAGCCATTGGAAGCAAATCCGAAGGTGGAAGGCAATTTCAGTGAACATGATCGTGAAGTGATAGTTTTCCTGATTCCAAAGCAAGGAAGGAATGAGGGGCTAGCAAGCGCCATAAAAGGCAATGAGAGATTCTTTAAATACATTAGGAGCAAGAGAAATATTGGTTAACAGGGAAGGCAAGCTAATGTTTGGATGTTTAATGCCCATTTTTGTTTCTCTCTTCGCTAAAAAGGTTAGTGTGACCACACTCAGTACAGTTAATATTAACGAGTGGCAGAATGCAAGCCAAAATAGGAAAAGAACAGGGAATACATCAATTTTATCAAAATAGTCTACAAATAGGCAAGCTGAAATTCATCCTTGGGTATGTAATAAACTACCTGAAGCAATATAGGAACCATTTTCATGGAGGATTGGTGAGGTCCACTGGAGAATGGCAAATAGTTTTTTAAAAACAGGTATAAAAGGGGTTTGAGGTATCATAGACAAGTCATCCTAACTTTATTCCATTATCTTACTAGCAATCAAATTACAAACTGATTGTCTAGTAAGTACCTAGAGGATAATAAGATTGAAAGGAATAGCCCATATGGATTTGTCAAAAACAAACCATGCCAAACGATACTACTTTCCTTCTTTGACCTTGTGGCGTAGTGGATAAGGGGAAGCAGTAGATGTGATTTTGTTTGGTTTAAGAAAAGCTTTTGACACAGGAAAGTATAGTATAAATGAAATTACTACAAAGTGGGTACACAACTGATTGAAAAAATGTCACTTAAAAACTGGTTATCAATGACTTGCTGTCCTACTGGGAGAACATATCTAGTGGGGTCCTGCAGGGCTCCGTCCTGGGGCTGGTATTAATCAGTATTTTCATTAATGACTTGGACAGTGGAGTGAAAAGTTTCTTATAAAATCTGCAGATTATACCAAGCTTGCAGGAGTTGTAAACAGTTTGGAGGACAGGATTCGAATACAGAATAACTGTTAAATTGGACAATTGGTCTGACATCAACAAAAAATTGAATAAAAATAAGTGCAAAATATTTCCCTTAAGAAGAAAAATGTACCACTGCAAAATGGGACTAGAGAATAGTCCTTCAGAAAAGGATCTGGAGATTATAGGTCTCAAATTGAATGAGTCAATAATGTGATTACAGTTGTGCCTAATATTCTGGAATGTATTAGCCGGGGGGTTGTATGTAAGACATGGGATGTGATTATTCTGCTCTACTCAGCACTTCTAAGGCCTCATATGGAGCACTGTGTCTAAATCTGGTCACCTCACTGAGAAAGATGCGGACAAATGAGGGAGTCCAGAGGAGACCAAAAAAGATATTAAAGTTTAGAAAACCTGACCTGTGAGGAAAGGTTTAAAAAAAAAAAAACTAAGCATGGTGAGTCTTTGGAAAAAAAGACTAAGGGGGGACCTGACTATATGCAAATACGTTAATGGCTGTTATAAAGAGGACGGGGTTCAATTGTTCTTGGAGTTCACTGAAGGTAGGATAAGAAGTAATGGGTGTAATCTGCTGGAAGAGAGAGAGTTTAGGGTTTTTCCTAACATCTAACCTAAGCTCTGGAATAAGTTTTTTCCGAGAGAGGTTGTGGAATCGAAATCATTGGAGATCTTACAACATAAGAACATAACATAAGACTGGCCATACTGGGTCAGTCCAAAGGTCCATCTAGCCCAGTATCCTGTCTACCGACAGTGGCCAGCACCAGGTGCCCCAGAGAGGGTGGACCGAAGACAATGATCAAGCAATTTGTCTCCTGCCATCTCTCTCCAGCCTCTGACAAACAGAGGCCAAGGACACCATTTTATCCCCTGGCTAATAGCCTTTTATGGACCTAACCTCCATGAAAATATATAGCTTCTCTTTAAACTCTATTATAGTCCTAGCCTTCACAGTGTCCTCTGGCAAGTAGTTCCACAGGTTGACTATACGCTGTGTGAAGAAGAACTTTCTTTTATTAGTTTTAAACCTGCTACCCATTAATTTCATTTGGTGTCCTCTAGTTCTTCTATTTAGAGAACTAATAAATAACTTTTCTTTATCCACCCTCTCCACACCACTCATGATTTTATATACCTCTATCATATCCCCCCTCAGTCTCCTCTTTTCTAAGCTGAAAAGTCCCAGTCGCTTTAACCTCTCCTCATATGGGACCCATTCCAAACCCCTTACCCTTTTCGGAACCCTTTCCAAGGCCAAAATATCTTTTTTGGAGGTGAGGAGACCACATCTGTACACAGTATTCAAGATGTGGGCATACCATAGTTTTATACAGGGGCAGTAAGATATTCTGGGTCTTTAAGAATCTCTTCCACAAACACCTGTCAGGGTGCTCTAGGTTTACTTGAGCCTACCTCCATGCATGGAGCTGGTCTTGATTTTTTTTTTCCGAGGCCCCTCCCAGTCCTACATATCTGTGATCCCCTGGCCTAATTGTATTGGAGCAGATAATTGGACAGTTGAGTTGGTAACATTCTGTTTTTAACCAGTATCTTTGGAACTTCTTATGAGCTGATGTTTGCCCTGCAAACTTGATCCCGGTCCCTGAACTACCATACCAGTTTTCAAACTGTGTGTACACATAGATTTTAGACAAGATGCAAACACATTATGCTTATGCTGACCCTACATTACCATAAAACCAAGTTTCCTTGTTAAGGTGAGCTGTTTGGTCAGTATTTCCTCAATAGACCCCGGGAAGTGCTGCATTCTTGACACTAGCCCGTGAATATTTGTCTAACTCCTATAACTTTCTTTCTCTTCCTCCCCCCCCCCCCCTTTTCTCCCCACTGCAGTTTGTTGTTCATGAATTGCCTGGTCAGGATTTAGAAGTGGACTTGTATGATGAAGATACGGATAAAGATGACTTTCTGGGCAGGTGATGCACATAATTTCTCCCCCGCTTCTTTACAATAGTATGTGTGTGCTCAATTTTTAAAAAACAATCCTCCATAAGAATAAAGGCATAGACAGTTCAATGCTAGTTGTTCAGTGCGAGATGTAAATCATATGTGAAATGTAGCTACTTCTTGTAAGACAACTGGCGGTAGATGGGGGTGGAGACTACTTCCTCTAGGTTACTAGTTCTGATCCATTCTCAACTAATCATGGTAGTAAAGTCCCTACATTTGGATGCTGTCAGATCGCTGATGTATGTGAAACCAATGTGATGCTCTCAATTAGGTTCCTAATGGAGAAGGATCCCTGTCCTAAAAATAGTCACTGCTGTTGGCACTTTTTTTTTTTTTTTGGCCTTTCTATTAGAGACCAAGAATTGGCAATGACCTTAAGTCTGAGCTCTGCAAGCCAGGACCAAAGGGCAAACTTGCTACTTCATTAACAGTACCTGTCCAACATGGGATGTGACTAAGACCCAAAACGAAGTGTTTGTGTTTAATTTTCATGGAATGACTGGGCCCAAAGAATGAAAGTTATTAATATGAGCCTGTCACCATCCGACTCAAAATGGTTTTAAAGATAGTTTGGTATCCAGACCTTAGCTTGCTCACAACCACGGCGAACTAGAAATCTTTCACCTTTTATTGAAGATATGTGGGGAAAAAAAGTCATTAAAACACTTGAAGTGGGATGTATTAGGTGAGGGGTTTTTAAACATCCTCCTTTTTTTTTCTTTAAGCTGCATAGTTAGTAGAGCGAAGCCCCCTCCTTTCAATCCTTCCATTTGACAGCATTAAAAATATTTGTCCCTTTAGGAAAAAGCAAGTTAGTTGACATGGGCTAGAGCTGTAACTGCTGTTTAAAGCCTGATTCTGTTTTCTAGAAACAAAACAAGGGTCAACTATACAAGCGTGCGTACGTGCGCTCTCGTGTGTGCATACACACACACAATGGTAGGAACCTCAGACAAGATGCATCTTTTTGTCTCTGGTGTTGACTTTCTCACTGCTGGAGATACCCAGGCAGGGCACATGGTCCTTTATTAGCCCCTCTTGAAACTTTGCAAATTTGCATCTGGCTACTTAATATGTGATCCACTCGTTCCAAAGTAAATGCTTGTAGAAGACCTTCCAAGTCCCTTGGCAACAGTTTCTTGCAACATCAGAAACTGTAAGTAGAGCCACCCAATCTAAGGCACTGAATATGGTGAAAAGGCAGGATGTATTTAGGACATGCTTTGAGGATGCCACAGACAGTATGAAAATCACCTAGGGTATGTCTACACTACCCTGCTAGTTCGAACTAGCAGGGGTAATGTAGTCATCCACAGTTGCAAATGAAGCCCGGGATTTGAATTTCCCAGGCTTCATTTACATGAAGCCGGCCGGCGCCATTTTTAAATGCCGGCTAGTTCGAACCCTGTGCCGCGCGGCTACACGCGGCACGGAGTAGCTAGTTCGGATTAGGAAGCCTAGTTCGGATTAGCCATAGCCAGGAAGCCTAATCCGAACTAGCTACTCCGTGCCGCGTGTAGCTGCGCGGCACGGGGGTTCGAACTAGCCGGCATTTAAAAATGGCGCCGGCCGGCTTCATGCAAATGAAGCCCGGGAAATTCAAATCCCGGGCTTCATTTGCAACTGCGGATGACTACATTACCCCCGCTAGTTCGAACTAGCGGGGTAGTGTAGACATACCCCAAGAAAGAGGGGAACTGAAGGGTGGGGAGAGCCAAATCCATCCACATGACCCTCTGAAACCTGAACAGTCCAGCACAAGACCAAAATAAATAGTGGAAACTGATGGCCATGCCATGCCTCGGAGTCTTCTGAAAGAGAGAGAAAAAGTTGATGGTGATTCCCAGTTTCACACTTACCTTGTTGAGCTGTTCGCTGTCCTGTCCATAGAATGGTTCGGGCCACCCCAGGCTCCATGGCGGCTGCTTCAGCCTTCCTATGGACAGGCCTAGCGTGAGGCGGCAGCAGGGGTCGCCCTTTCTTGCACTCACTGCAGCGGTGAGAGCTGGAGCAGCCTGCCCTGCTCCATGCCACCCCCCTAGCCTGCTGTGCAAACCCTCTCTGCAGCAGCAGGAAGCAGAGCACCCAGGGCATTGAGCTTCCCGCTACTGTGGAAGAGCAAAGTGAAGTAGGCTGGGAGGGTGGTGCGATGGGGCGAGGCCAAGCTGCTTGGCCGCCCCAGTTTCCTTTGCCATGATGAGTGCAGGGGAGGGACCTCTGCGACTGCCCTGCACCTGGGCCCCTGTAATTCCCGTTTGAATCGGGCATAGCAAGGACAAGGCTTGTGGGAAGGGATGGAGCAGAATCATAGTGGGACTTGGGTGGGGGTGCCCTGGCCCCACACCTGGGATGCTGAGGGAGGGATTGCCCCAAGCCCCATGTCTCTCTAGGGATGGCCCTGTTTATCAGGCATGATCTTAAGAGTCCTTGAGTGATATAAATAGGTCTTTGTGTTTGTACTAGTTCTGTCTCCCATTTTCACCTTTTCCCATTAACATTTGTTATAGTGTGTGACATTTTAATTAACTTTCGCTTAGCGTTGAGCTCACAACTGAAGTAAACGTGTAGACCCAGTTGTTACGGCCAAGGGATGCAGGAAATGTTAACACTGAGGGATTAATTCCTTTTAATCTAAATAATTCTGTCTCTAAACCTCAGTGTTTGAGTTTGATTGATTGCAAATAACTGAGTACTAAAAGTGATGGGCCCTTGAATTTGTATGGAATGCTGGTAACATTAAAATAAGTGGTGATTCCTAAAATGAGGAACACTTGAGGGATATGTTTCAAAGGGCCCTTCAGATGTGTGGTGTTATAAACATATCAGAAGAGAGAGAAAACAAACGCCAAACATGTTCAGTTACGCATGCTAAGAGTACAGGCAGTCCCCGGGTTACGTACAAGATAGGGACTGTAGGTTTGTTCTTAAGTTGAATCTGTATGTAAGTCGGAACTGGCGTCCAGATTCAGCCACTGCTGAAACTGACCAGCGGCTGACTACTGGAAGCCGGAGGCAGAGTTGCTCTGACCCGGGCTTCCTGGAATCAGCCTCTGATCAGTTTCAACAGGCTAAAGCTGGACGCCAGTTCCGACTTACATACAGATTCAACGTAAGAACCCCAGGCGTCCCCAAGTCAGCTGCTGCTGATTCCTGGTCTGCTGGAGACGTGGAGCAAAGCCGCGGAGCACGCGGGCAGCGGACAGCCCAGACGCGCTGCGGCTGTCCCGCTGTCGGCGTCC